GGTGGGGGTCCCCAGGGTGCCTGGGCGGGTGGGAAGGGGTTTGAACAGGGCTGAGGGGGGGCAAAATGATAGGGCAAAGGGCTCATGCACCCTTCTGTGATGGGGCTGGGGTCAGGGGTGGGGACTGGTGCTGAGCCAGGCATAAAACTATTGCACGGCTTCATATACAAAAGGTGTTTAAGACGTGCGGAGGCGGAGGGGAGATGTTCCCATTGTGAATATTTTAATATCTCTGGGCGCTGGCACAACGCAAACGCAGTTGCTCAGCAAACGAATCCATCCCGCGCCAATCCTGATGCCCGCTTTATCCATGCTGTGGGAATTACTGCTCCCAGCACACAAGAATGGGCAGGGGGGACCCTTAATAAATGAGAAAAGGTGTCGGATAGGGTTTTCCATCCCAGGGGGGGCCCTGGGAGGGCTGTGTAATTGGAGAGATGATCTGGGCAGTCATCTGCCTCCAGCTGAGCGTGATGAGGCCGTAATTCACATGAAGGACAGAGGATTTGCTCTTCTTTCATCGAAAGAAGCCACGGCGAGGACCAGCCTGGCCTATTTTACGGCGGGGGGAAAGCAGATGATGGTATTTAGTGGGATTAAGAGGGCCGAGGGATCCTAATTTCCCGTGGGGGGGATGCCGAGGTGGCTGGCACAGGGCAGGACGGCTGGGGGTTCGATGGCTGATGGGGCTCCTCTCCTCCGTGGATGCCACCCGTGGCTGTTCACACCTTGCACGCCGCAGGAAAAGGTGCCAGCAAATGTAACAGGTACCGCTTCCCACCTGCTAAGGAGAAACTGAGGCACGAGGACACGCAGAGATGTGTCCCAGTCTGCCGGGCAGTTTCTTTAGGCTGTTTTCTTGCAGCGCAAGGAAATAAATAAGTCTATATCCAACTCACTACCCTGCGATTCCCTGCGAGGATTCAGGATTTTGCTCTTAGGGGGTGCTTGGGGGTGGGTTAAGAAGAGCATCCACTGCACCAAGCTTTTGGCTGGGGTGGGATGAGGGGCCGGGGTGACCCCACAGGGTGATGCCGGGTGCCCAGTGGGGTTGTGAAGATGTGGTGCACTTTTGCACGGCCCACGGCATTGCGTTTCACCAACCAGACCCCAATCCCCAGTTTCCCCCATCCCAGTTTCCTCCATCCCTGGCGGCAGCACCTTCAGCTCCGTCACAAGTCACGGAGGAGAAATGTCGTGGAAAAACTTGGGATGTAGCCACTTGGTTTGGTTTCGATGTTAAACACAACCTTATGCCACTGGAAACTGGTTTTTCCAGGATGTGGTGATCCATGGCACTTCCCCAAATCAAGGCGTGTGAGCGCCGTGTGCCTGTTTTGGGGGGATATGGAGGAAAAACATTGTCCACCGCCACGCCAAACAGGGAGCCAGTAGCACCGGCTCCACATAATCACGTAGCTGGGAGCAGAGCCGCCTGCTCGCCCTTTGAGACAGTGCCCGCTCCCTTATCGGCCTGGCCCTGCCCTGGTAGCTGTGCTGCTCCTGTGACCCTGCACCCGCTTTGCCCCAAACCACTGGCTTTCTGCCCCATATTCACCAGGTTGGCACCTGACAGATGATGCTCTGCCATCCTGAGGGGTTTTAGGGGTAGGATAATGCGGAAGAGGATGGGAATGGGGATGCTGCAACCCCTCTGTGCATTTCCCAGTGCTGCCCGGGTGGCTTCTCATCACCTTCAGCATTACACAGTGCCCCCTCCTTGTCACCCAGCATTGCTCGCCCCGATCCTGGCAGAGCCATTTGCTGGTTAAAGACACCAATGCAGCCAGACCCTGCCCTTCCCCAGCTCCGGGGCTGCCAAAATTTGCCCCATTCCCTGCAGCCATGCCGGGAGGCAATGGGAAGCACCGGCTTCTCCTGGCAGGCAGCCTGGGGATGGGTGACACGTTATTCTGCTCCAGGCTTTGGGGTGACACTGACTGTCACGCACTCTCTGCGTCCTTTGAAACTGGCTGAGATGCCGATGGTGATTTTCCGCCCCATTTTTGCTACTGAATGTGCGATGAGGTGATGGTGGCAGCAAGGGCAATGGCTCCTCTCTGCCCTGAGGTTTGTTTCTAGCCCGAGGTTTCGGTGTGGCTGTAGGGATGGGAACCGGCTGTAGGGATAGGAAGTGGTTGTAGGGATGGGAACCGGCTGTAAGCGACACATCAGGCGGAGGGGGGGTGGTGAAGTGGCGCAAGATGGTTGTGGCGCCGAGGGTGGAGCACATGTGGAAACAGGAAACAGTCGGCCTCCCTCTGTGTCACCATTACTGGAACTTGCCTCGTTAGGGGTTCGTTTGCACTTCCAAAATGAAACCACCTGGGCTGGAGTGAGCCCTGCCCCCCCCCCCC